GTGTGTGTGTGTGTGTGTGTGTGTGTGTGTGTGTGTGTGTGTGTCGGTTTACTTGGGTATGTTCTAGTCCAATTGTATTTGTTTATTTGTGGTATGCTGTTAAATATGTCATTATTATACTGCCTCTACCTTGTACCCTATATTAAAGCATAAATAAACTTTGGCGGGGGGACGATTTTAAAGGTCTTACTAGCAAATAATGTTTGCAAAGATTGCACTAACCTAACTAACGTGGTTTGTAATCTGTTTTGACTAAAAAAATAAATGTTAAGTGAAGCGCAGAATATTGACCATACCACAGGTTGTTATTACCTACCTTATAATTATTTGCCAATCCGTTGTTTTCCTGTATCCATTTGTCTAATAAAGACATTTTATCAGAAGTTGTGCTTAATGTCGCTTCGCTTGTTTGACTTTCCCTCGTTCATCAACAGGAAGCTTACAGGAAATACAAACTGTGTGAGCAGCAGCGGGGCTCTGCTGCCCCTTGTGGAAAGAGTGTGAACTGCAGGCGCAGTTTTCTATTTGACCAACAGGGGGTGCTGTGAAAGAGATTTGCCTTGAGATTTGCCATGGAGGTGTACAGTATGTCAGGAGTTCCGAAAGTGGGGGCCGCCAGGGGACGCTAGGGGGCCTCAGAAAGCTGGATGATTTTCAGTTGAATCTGCACATGTTTGGCATCGAAATAAACCTAAGAATCTTGGCTAAACGCTCATGGAAACTATTTTTACATCCACCAAACACAGTTCAAACGTCAAGCAGTTGAAACAGAAAGTTAAAAAACTGTGCAAAATGTCATCATCGCAAATAAATACATACAAAAAGAGGAAAAAAATCACATTATTTTTTTATAAAGCAAGTCAAAATAAATACCAAAATAGGTTGTAAAATGTGTTGAATGTTTTTTTTACTTGATTTTGAGAGAATATGATCCAACTGAAGTCAAATATACTTTCTCATATTAAATGGTGACAAATAAATGTTTGGATAACTTTTCAAAAGAACAAACATTTAAGTCTTTTCAGGCAGATAAAAAAATAACTTTTGCAATTAAAAACTTCAAATTTCTTAGCATTTATTAATGGTACCATCATGGTCTGTCCTGTGCAGAATGACAAAATTCAAAATTTTTTATTTTCTAAAACCTCTGTAACTTTGCTCCAGTTAATTTTAGCAGCATGAATCATTGCACAGGTAATGTCGACAAGTGGATTTATGGTTTCCAAGAGTTTTTAGCCTGAATAATTATGATTTTAAATGGGTTAAACATTATCTAATGCAAAAATTATTCAGGTGAGAGGGAAAAAAATTATGTTCCATCTTTAATACAGTACCTCTAAAACCACAGCAGCTGTTTTAATACTTACACTTCTGATGAAATCTCTCAAAAGTTAGCTTTATTTTGATCCTAAGATTTTTAAGTAGAGTTTGTAAATTCTGAGATGCACTCAATTACATTTTGACATTTTGAGCAAAAACATCAAGAGAACCCCTTGAGGCTTAAGAAGTTAAAATAAAAATGTTAAATATTAACAATAAACTCCCTTTGTTTTTCAATTACTATTTTAAATATAATTTATAACAATTTATTGAAAGGTCTTTTGCCATGCTCATCTTTCTGATCTGTCAAGCTTTAGATTTGAAAATAAAGGAAATTTTAAATTGCCCACTGTGAGCCACGTCCAAACCTGGCTCCAGTATGCCTTAYATTTTAAGACTGGTGTACAAGAAATCTCAAATAGCCACTTACCACTTAAAAATTCATTTRGGTGATCAGAATCTGATAACTTTGCTGACACTGAAATGCTGTGGACATTCTTATAATGGAGCCTAAATAAAAACAGAAAAGGGAATTAAAGCACATTTATTCATTAAGTTTATAAATTTGCTGTCCCATTTTTAGAGATATTTACATGATGTCTTTATTTTTTTGGCAAGAATATCTTTGATTTTGCTCCAACCATCCATCGCTCTGCTTTGTTGTTGTTCCTGGTTTGTTCCCGCTCTRAGCACTAAACTTGCAAGAACCTCCCATGAAACTACGGGGGGGCAGTTCTCCAGAGGWTAATAGTGACAGAGTTTGTTCAGTCTGAAGCTAACATAGCAACAGACAAGTTTGTGACAAAAAAAGGCCAAATGAACCGACCAGCAGCCCTGCTATAGAAGACACTGCGTTAAAAAACTCCCAGCCAAGTAAAATCAGGAAGTTTGAGGCAGCATACATTAAGTATGGCTTTACAGCTATTCAATAGTGAATCAAAGTGAGGAAAAAAACCATTCCAAAAACTTGATATTTCTTTATTTTATGGTCAACGTGCAAGGGGGTCCCCGGCCAGAAGCTGAAGTTGTTTGGGGGGCCTTATCATGGAAAAGTTTGGGAAGCCCTGGTATTAAACAACTACTATAGTATTTAACTCTATTTGCATTGAGTTCTGCCCATAGACCATGGTTCTGCCATAGAGTTGAGAATCACACTTGGCTTGAATTTCTGCTGTGGTTTTGATCATAGATACACTCACCGGCCACTTTATTAGGTACACCACGCTAGTAAYGGGTTGGACCCCCTTTTGCCTTCAGAACTGCCTCAATTCTTCGTGGCATAGATTCAATAAGGTGCTGGAAGCATTCCTCAGAGATTTTGGTCCATATTGACATGATGGCATCACACAGTTGCCGCAGATTTGTCGGCTGCACATCCATGATGCGAATCTCCCGTTCCACCACATCCCAAAGATGCTCTATTGGATTGAGATCTGGTGACTGTGGAGGCCATTTGAGTACAGTGAACTCATTTTCATGTTCAAGAAACCAGTCTGAGATGATTCCAGCTTTATGACATGGCGCATTATACTGCTGAAAGTAGCCATCAGATGTTGGGTACATTGTGGTCATAAAGGGATGGACATGGTCAGCAACAATACTCAGGTAGGCTGTGGCATTGCAACAATGCTCAATTGGTACCAAGGGRCCCAAAGAGTGCCAAGAAAAGATTCCCCACACCATGACACCACCACCACCAGCCTGAACCGTTGATACAAGGCAGGATGGATCCATGCTTTCATGTTGTTGACGCCAAATTCTGACCCTACCATCCGAATGTCGCAGCAGAAATCGAGACTCATCAGACCAGGCAACGTTTTTCCAATCTTCTCTTGTCCAATTTCGATGAGCTTGTGCAAATTGTAGCCTCAGTTTCCTGTTCTTAGCTGAAAGGAGTGGCACCCGGTGTGGTCTTCTGCTGCTGAAGCCCATCTGCCTCAAGGTTCGACGTACTGTGCGTTCAGAGATGCTCTTCTGCCTACCTCGGTTGTAACGGGTGGTTATTTGAGTCACTGTTGCCTTTCTATCAGCTCGAATCAGTCTGCCCATTCTCCTCTGACCTCTGGCATCAACAAGGCATTTCCGCCCACAGGACTGCCGCTCACTGGATGTTTTTTCTTTTTCGGACCATTCTCTGTAAACCCTAGAGATGGTTGTGCGTGAAAATCCCAGTAGATCAGCAGTTTCTGAAATACTCAGACCAGCCCTTCTGGCACCAACAACCATGCCACGTTCAAAGGCACTCAAATCACCTTTCTTCCCCATACTGATGCTCGGTTTGAACTGCAGGAGATTGTCTTGACCATGTCTACATGCCTAAATGCACTGAGTTGCCGCCATGTGATTGGCTGATTAGAAATTAAGTGTTAACGAGCAGTTGGACAGGTGTACCTAATAAAGTGGCCGGTGAGTGTATAAAGGCCTTTGAGATCTGTTGTTCAAAGAACTCCACCAGTTCTACAGAACCTCCTTGAGTTCTGGAACTTCAAACACACAATTTAAAAGAGCCCTTTAGATGTTTGAAGCCATTTTTTGTTAATGGCTTTTAACTCTCCCAATAATTACTGACAGTTATTGACTTAATAAAATCATCTGGATCCAAAAGGATTTCTACCTAAATAAATCTAATTAACACTGAACACACATATTCGACATATAAAACACAACCCAGTCACATTACAGCTGAGTCATCCTTGAGACTGCTAGGATAGCAATTTTTTTTCTACAGGTCTCCACCAAGGTGACTCCCCTTTGTTTTCTTTCCCCCGTTCCCTTTTTCTTGCATTCCCTTGTCATCCTTCCATCAGCACATCATCCTGTTGTGTAAAATGTGCATCCTTTACCTGCAGCACAATCTCTATAGCTCTCCTTTTCTTTCACTGTTTTAAATCTCTAAGGAAAAACAAACAACCCTGTCAAACACCTTTGAGATCTTTATGATTATCTTGGAAAAGATTTGATGTTTTTCCAGCTTTTTTTCCAGTACACTGACTTGGCAACTTTCCATCTTTACCTCAGCTGCTGTCACTCAAGGACATGCACAAGAAAAATGCCTCTTTCCTCTTCTCCTTCTGTYTCTTTCAGTGCCAGAGAGCCCATGGCCATGCTCCACTCTGTCTCATGTGTTGTATTGTTGAAAAAAAGCTAATTTCGTCTAGACTCTGCAATGAGATCCTTTCTGAAGCACTGCAGGGACATTAAACATGGGCTTCTCGTATCAGCTGACTCTGAAACTCRTTTATAAAACATGCAGCCCACAGCTGAAGAGACATGTGTCCTACACATTCTATAGTCACCCAAGCATGTGAGATGTGGTGGAAAACATGTGAGTGTGAACATCTGTGGAAGCAAACTGGTTTGGTCTGGGAAAAACAACATGTAGAAATCTACAGACATGATGCAGRGTGCTGAATGACTCCACTGAAATTTGCTGATGAAGCGGAAACTGATGTCTAGAGAGAAGAGAAGATAAAAGGAGCCGAATAGAAGCTTGAAATAGCTGAATGGAGGCTAGAAGCTAAAATGAGCTAATTTGGAAGCTAACAGTAGCAAAACAGTTAGATGCAAAGAAACAAATCAGGATCTAAAAGAGGCAAGATGCTAAAGGCATATAAAAGTGRCAAAAAGCTTCCTAAAAATAGCAATAGATGAGCTGTAAGTATAAGTAGCAAAGGTCTAGCTAAAAGCTAAAACTAGTAAAAGGCTACAGTACAACTTAAAGCTAAAAAAATGCTTAATAAAACAATCAAAATAGCAAAATATAAATATGGGTGAGCTAAAAGTAGCAAAAGATGAGCTAAAGGTAAAGACTAAAAGGTGGTAAAAGTTGTGATATAACTGAAAGCTAAAAGTACAAAATAACAACCAGTGGGGGGGGAAAACAGCAAAAATGAGTAAATGACTAGTGAAAAGGTTGAGCTAAAGGCACCAAAACCTAGCCAAAAGCTAAAAGAAGTGCAGGCCAGCTAAAAGACAAAAGTAGCCACATTCTACTTTGATGCTAAAATAAAAAAAAAATGCTTGCCAAAAATTGTAAAAAAAATATTTAAAAGTAGCAAATGATTAGCTAAACGCTAAAAATGAAAAGCCTTAAGCCTTAAAGTGCCTGTGATATTAAATTTTTAAAATAAATATAAAAGCATTAATGGAAAGAGAACATTAGCATATTGCAAAAATAATTTCCCGCCGCTGAGATGAACAGTTGTTATTTGCATGTGAAGGAACAGGAAGTGATGTCAAAGGAGAATGTCTGCATGGAAAACAAACACTGATAAAATAGATCATGACCCAGACTGTAGAGAAGATTCTGATGTTTCTTTAGATTATTTTGAGTCMCYATCAGAGARAGAYGAAGACGAGTCAGAGTTCAAATAAAATTGCTTCAACAGAGTTTTCTTTCTTAAAGAGTTGACCTTTGATGTCACTTCCTGTTGCACTTTGGCTGAGCCAAATTCAAAGAAAATATGCCATTTATGAGACAAAATGTGTAAAATCACATGTTTTATGCAAGGTTTCTTATTTAAAAATGTGTTCTCTTTGACTTTTTGTATTTGATAGATATGCATGTCACAGGCACTTTAAAGTGTGTTTAAAAGTAGTGAAAGACAAGCTAAACATAGCATAGCACTAGCTAAAAGYTAAAAGTATCCTGTAGTAAAAGGCTGTAAARGACTCTGTTAACCCTCGTGCGATCCTAACATTTACTCCCTTGTCCTACGGGTCAAAAATGACCCGTTCTACCAAAGTCCCAACATAAAGCAGCTTAATTGAATTTTAAATCCAAAATCTATTTTGCATGATGAAACAACTTGTTATTTATCAATTCAACTCAATTTAATTGCATTTTATCATGTATTTTATGATACACAATACTAAAAGAGAATCACTCTCTGATGGCTGTCACTTTACACAACTTGCTGGTCTCAGCATTCTTGAAAAACTGTGAAAGATTTTTAGTGGCATTGTGGCACAAAAAATTGCCCTTCCACTCTCTGCACCCCAGAGACTATATGTAGCCTCGCCACAGGACAGGAACCCCTCCAAATTCATTCAGTATTTTCCAGGATGATTTTTTTTTTCAAAGGCTGGTGTGATGATCAGGAGAAAGGTGGATGAAATGTCCTGGATATGGGCAGCCAAATATCTTGTTGGCCCTGACATCATCCTTATGATGATTGACACTGCTGTTCTTCCCTGGTTGCTGTCTGAATTTGATGAGAACCAAGCAATTTTGCCATTCTTTTACAAAAATGTGTCTGTCAGCTTGAGGAATGTCCTCTTCGTCTTCATCTGAAGATGCATTATCCTTTTGATTGATTTTATTAAGCAGTAATATTGCATGTATATACGCATCTAGTACATTCATTATTAGTACTTGGATAAACAAGAAAGTGAGAATCACTTATTTCCATTGTGGTCCTCTGGGTTGCATTCCTCCCCATCTTCTTCAGAAACATCTTCGTTCTCTTGTTCCTCCTGAGCTCCTGAAAATATCTCATCCATCTATTCAGCAGTGAAACATCTAGCTTCAGCAAGGAACCAACTAGGGGTACTTTCATTCAGGGTACCTTTATATCCTCTACACTGAATCAGTTTTTTATTATCTGAGATTGTTTTGTTTTGTTCAGGAGCTTGTGTGATGTGAGGGGTTAGCTGCAGATCAAGAGTACAGGTGCAGGTCAAATGCAAGTTCCAGATTCTTTAATGTGTGTGTGTGTGTGTGTGGGGTTAGCTGC